TGATAGGGCTCTGTATAGGGAGAGAAAAATGATTCATTATTGAAACCGGAGAAGGTCAAAATGAAGCATGAGATCACAACAGTTAAAATCGGTCTCAAACTCTGACCCGCAGACTCTCCACAGGACTGGTGACATTGAACTTGTCCATGGTGTTGACGATGATGGCAGGAGTGGTGAGAAAGAAGAGCAGCAGGAAGAGGAGGATGTTGAGGAGGACACAGCGGAGCCACCAGCGAGACCCACACACTGACAGGTTTTCCCTGGTGACGGGAAAAATAATCACCCAGCACAGACAGGACAGTTAACACACTTCTCTCCCCTGACACGCCTGCACTGTACTGCACGTATTGACATAAGCCTGAAATAGCCCAGCTCAGTCATCCCCTGTATGTGAGTCATTGGACTAGAGAGCAGGTTGGGAACAGCACACTTGAATGCTCAGTTTTAATGAAGGAACAAAAGTCTCTGCTCAACGCCACAGCCTGTGACTGCTACAGTACTCACATTCACGCACAAACACAGTGCAGCCAATCAGGCAGAAAGCACAAGCAGCGAGCGCTACCATCTCTTCGGTTAATCTCCCATACATATGCATCACCTATTTGTTACATAATCTTGCTGAGGCTGCTGCATTTGCTTTCCAAGATAAGAAACATGCATTGTAGCTCATCCAAGTATGGATATGGAATGAACTGGTGTCTGAGATCTGCTAGACGCAAGCAACAGCATACTAATACATCTTAAATGTTTCTGTTTGTTCTGGGATTTTTTTTTTAAGAAAGAGAACAGCTCAGTGAAAGAAAAAATGGAATAATAATGCAGATACTTTGGCAAAGCTGAGATGTATAATTTGCATAGTGCACACATCGACTCTTTGAGGTTATTATTACAAGCTAGTGTCACGTAGCTAAGTATTTTTAAAGCCAACAGAACTTCATTTCAAAGTCCAGTCATGATCCTGAGGTTTCCAAAGATACCAATGTGTCCACTGTAAATGATGCATAAAATATGATAAATTAGATATAACACTCAAAATCTCTCTCTCTCTCTGGGTATCCTCTGAGTCCAAAGACATACAGATTAGGGTAAACAACTGCTTGTACTGCAGGTGAGTGGGAATGTGAGGAGGGAAAGGTTACAGCTCCCTGTGACCATACACTGGATAAATGGGTATATGTGAGGATAGATATGTCTGCTACTAACCAGATGATGTCACTGGGAGCAGGTGCGTAGCTGACCCCCCATTGGTGAGACTGCACCACAGTGGTGATGCTGGACTGCTGGGGCCTGCGACGGCAGCACACCCGACTGTAGTCCTTTACAATCCTGGAAAATGAAACGAAACATACAAAACTGCTGCAGAAATCTGCATCAGCACTTATGATGCCTACTTTTATGCCTCTCTCTGAGAACTTTATGGCTGCTCCCTGTGACAAGTGTATACGTGATGAGTGGACCTGACAGAAATAAACCTTGATGTCATACTGTTGTTAACTTACACGGCGGTCATCCTCTCGTCACGAAAAGTGACAAAGGCAATGCCCAGCCTCTTCATAGAGATGCGATTCTTCTCAGCATTAAACTCATCTGTTCGCTTTTCTTCTAACTCGCTGTAGTACTGCTCTGCATCCACCTGCAGAAAAAGTTAGCATGCACATTGCTCACTGCATCTTTGACTCTGAGATACCCACATAATACAACACAATGGCAAGATATCATGTGGTGCTACAGTTGGACTGCAGTGCCATCCAGTGGTAATGTCCTTTCAGTGCAGCACAACTATGCTTCAACTCTAACATGCAATCCACGTGCAAACCTCAATATCACCGATATAATGTACCTTTTCAAAGCCACAGATGTCGCAGCAGAATATCTGAGCGCAGGGATGAGTCTTGATCATGATCTTCCCCTCTTTTTGGGCCTTTGTGGCAAAATACAGCCTACCTTTCATCGCCTTGCGCCTGCAAAACACAGCATCCTCAGACTCATAATGATCACAAACAGTGTTAATCCAGTCTGTAGCAGGTGCTGCACCTCTCCAAGTCCAGCTTCATCAGCTTGTGGACATCAAAGCAGAAGCGGATATCAGTCACAGTACAGCTGGGGTAGGCCTCACTAGACAACAGAACAGACATAATTAGGGTGATGGGACTGTGCTCGTACATGATGTATTTGCAAAGAACAGTCAGGGAAGAAGATTAAACCTGAATTAACAGCAAAATAGAGAAATAAACATGTACTGGAAGTGTTTGATGATGAGTCCTGGGTCAGAGATCTCTCCGGGAATGGAGGTAATCATCAGTGTTCTGGCTACCTGCAAGACATAATCCAACCACAATGAATAGTTATATTGGATGCTCTCAAGACACGGACACAGAAAATGAGTGATTTGTATGATTTGTATTGGAAAAAATGTTGAAATTCCTTCTTGTTTTCAGAAAATAAAGCTTTTAAGTCTCAAGACAGACAAACTGAGTTTATAAAATTGATGTTTTTTCAGTGGAAAAAGGCGGCAGACCTTCTCATCTTCTCTGTACTCCAGTTTTATCGAGTGGTGAGCCATACACAGTGTCGTGATGATGAAGTAAACCAGAGCAAAGATGCAGTGGAGCCACAGAAAACTATCCCTGTGAGCCACAGAAACACTGTTGTAGTTTAAAATGAACGCAGGCACTTTACAGAAGTCCAGTGTTTTTTCATTGTTCTCTGGTATTTCATGAGATTTGATGCCATTCAGACAGTGTTACTTACTTTGCGTTAACATTTGCCAATGTTGTTCTTCCAAAGTTTTCAGGACTGTCTCCTGTAGAAATAATGAAACATGACAGAAAGTGAGACACTGTAATTTTTAAATGACTTAAAGGAAACCCCTCCCCTTTTGTCCAGAGGGTGAGGCAGCAATGTCACTATTCAGGGAAAACGTTTTCCATCCAATCTCTCTCATCTCTGTGAACTTTCACACAAAATTCAAACATCGCATTCATGCCTGACTCTGCTGTTTTAATTTGGGCACCTTTTGTTTGCTGTTGCCACGACAGCCAGTTGATGGCTGTTGGTTTATTTAATGGCTAGAGTGACACACTGGTCATTAACATGACAAGCAGCAGTAATAAATAAAGTTTCTGTGGTGGCCCAGGTCTTCATTGACTCCAAAAAGGATCCTGTCTTCAATCTATTATGGAATGGCTTACTCAATTCTTCCTACAGAATGAGCACATAACTGACAAAAGGCGTTTCTACTGCTGTTTACTGTAGCTGTTAATTTTGTGCACCATCCCACCACAGACACCTACATGTGTACGTTAAGAGGAAATGAAGCACTTTCTATTCCTACAATCTGACTTGGGAAAGCACTTAATGAATTTCCACCGGCATGCTAGTAACTCCCATTAGATGAGGTGCAGCTCTTGTGTATGTATGTGTTAAATAAAAACTGTTTTACTCCATACTGTAATACTGTGTTACTGTAGGTCAGTTTAAGCTAAAAGTACCTTTCAAGGTGATTTCAGTTTTGATCCTAAAAAGGAACTTTGGATGGTTTTAAACCTCAGCTTTACCACTGATTGTTTCAAGCTAAAGCTGATGTGCATCTAACCAATGAATCATTTGCTGTGTACATGTGTGCATTTGTCTCTGTGTGGCCTGGCCTCTCTCCCTGCGAGGTGCCCCATGCACCTCCTCTGAGGTTATAGATTTCCCAAGGCTTTTCAAACAGTCGACTAGCTGGACCATCATTTGAGGGCCAAAATACCCAGGAGGTTCCCGGAAAAGTTGACCGGCAGGATTATGGCCAAAGACAACAGGCAAACCACCGTCATAAGCAGGATGATGTGGCGCTGGAAAGACAGGTATGTGATGGCATCAATGCCGCATTTGCTACGGATTTCCTCGTCCCTGGAGAAAAAGAGAGAGGCAGAATTCTGCCTAAGACTGACAAAACAAAAGATAATGCAAATAATCACGGTCTTAACATAGCATACAGTCCTGTCCATTGGACAAATGGTCCTACAGCTTATACCTCATCATGAGGAAAACTGTGGCACCATTAATTTGGTGTCAGAAGCTGTGGTTACCAGGCACAGAGTTCAGAAAACCCAGTGTCATAAAATAGAAAAAAAAAAACTAAAAATAGAAATGAGAAGGCAAGAGGTGCTCGCTGGTCACATGGCAGCCCACACATTGAGAACTCGCAGTAGGACGGGTCTGCACTTTCCCAGGGATCCCACTGACAAAAGAGCTAAAAACAGAAGCACCCAAACTCCACCATAATACCTAGGAAACCATGGATACTGTGGAAGTTGATTTTTTTTTTTTTTTTACAGGCCTTAATCGGTTGAGCGCAATCCCATCTGAGCAAAGTACAAATATTCAAAGGAAAACCATGGCACCAGTGGTCGCCTGAGCCCAGACTCGTTTGTTTTTTCTGCTAAATGAGATATAAGGCGAAGCTTTACGCTTGACAGTGACATCAGCTTTTCAAGACTCAGGAGGCAATAAAAGGATGGAAGCTAAGATGAGACATGGGTAAAATAATTACAAGGGCAGCTGCTTCATGTACTTACTTCATATGGTAAAGAGATGAGAGCCATGAGCAGAAGCCCTAGAAGGAGAGGAGAGTCATAAAACATCCAGTGGATTGGCTATTAAAGATAATTAATGACATATGTGTGCAGACCACATCTGACTACTAGTATCCATCCACTATTTGCATATTAATAAGGCCTGCAAAGTGACAGATTTAATAGGTCTAGAATGGAGCAGTAACCACTTTACTGTAGCCTCAGCTCTGTGTAGTCATAGGGCGATGACTCCAGTCTGACTCTTTGGCTTACACTGTTATAAACATGCAGGGAGTGACCTCAGTCTGTCACACAGGTGTCATGGAGTCACAGACAGTGCAGCTGAGTCATGAGCCAAACTTTCCTCTTACAACAGCTGACACGGTGCCATCTCAGACATCAATATGTCACTGGCAAATTAACTAGCTTGTTATAATTACAGTAAATAAATGAGAACATGATCACGAAGACCGGTAGACTGGCAAACATTAGTGGTAATGTTGATGATAGTGAGCTATGCTGATCAACAGAAGGCTGACCTTTCACACATGCAGCAGACAAGGACTCACAATAGCATTCATCTGGGGTCGTGCTTGTCCTCACTCAAAGTGCAATATTCACTCACATATTAGCTCTGGTGACCATTTTTAAGGAAAAGAACATATTGTCTTTTTAGCTGCACTGCTGTATTGTATGTTCATTGTGTAGTTGCTAACTTTGCTGTTTGGTGCAGGACAAATAACATACGATGGAGCTCGAGAGCTATAAAACTGATACAATGAGCTAAAAGGCATTCAAAAAAGTATTGTTAAGGGAACAGCAGAATTAGGTAATACATTTCTGTGGGTTTGTCACTGTAACTTATTTCTGTACTTGAAACTTTGTAAATTATATAATACTATTTGGTGCAGCTGTAAAGTCTGGTCACAGAAAAACACCACGCTCAGATGAAAACATAAAGAAGCAAATATCTTATGAGGTAAGAAATGCATTCAACATCTTTGTTAGAACTTTAGGTCACATAAAACGTGTTTTGTTGAGAGAGTCTGAGTGCTTGTTTAACTCCACAAAGTACATTTATTTGATCTGAAAATACTTTAAAGAGGTTTACAAGTGTTTTTAGGGGCCGATGAAAAACTCCCAAACTCAGAACTCACCATGTCCTTGGTCTCAGAGTCGGACGGGCTGGACTCTGAAGGAGACTTCTCCTTTTCACTTGGGTCTCCATAAAACAGGGACGTGAGACTGAAGTGGGAAGACAATATACACAAACAAACAAACAGCAGGATCACCACACAAACACGATCATTACAACCAATATTATTGTGACTGTTTGTGGATATTTCTCTGTGGACTGCACCACTGACAGTTCAAGAGTGTGTCAAATTAAGTCAAGCATAATGCTTGACTTGGGTCAGGCAGAAGAAAACCATTGCAGGCCTGTATACGTTCCTGGTGAACCTGTACTAACTTCACCTGTCAAGAAATTCAGAATACAGCTCGATCACTAAAAAACTGACAAAACTTTTGATCTCTGAACAATCATTTAAAGGATGCATTTGGTGATATTCTATATATTTTTTTACGGTCAAAAAAATCCCATGAAAATGTGTTTTGTGTGTTAATGTGTGTAGCTGAGAACAGTCCCAAACAAATGCATTATTTATTTGTGGTTGAGCAATGTTTTCTAAAAAACCTACAGTACCTGGATCTTTTTAGAAAAAGTTTTAGCCTTAAAAAAAAGGAAAAAGGAATTACTTTAACAGGGCCAACCACTGACATACCATTGACATATATACAATGGACAAGTCATAACCACTTCCCTCCACCATGCAAAAATGAAGACAAAATACCATGAATACAGCAGCTGCCCTCTTGCTTTTTTTTTTTACAACTTGATTTTGTGCAGTAGTGACCGGAAGTGGAGTGACAACATCAGACGCCAATCGCAGCTGTCAAATCAACCAAAATACACCCCTTTTATGTCATCAAATAACTTAATTCAAAACAAACCTACCAGAAAAATGACCACTTGTACATACATCAGCGTGATTGTATCTACCAGAAACCACAGAAATCACTTCTGGGAAAATTTGTTTTGATTTGTACTTTGAGTTTTTAGTTTGGCTCATGTCCCACATCTACTAACATGGATGAAGCAGGATTTATGACCTATACTCCAACTAACCACCAGGGGGCGATGACGTTTTGGTGGCTTCACTTCTGAGAGTGACTGGGGGCTGAGTGCCACAGACAAGGTAGGGAAGTCATAAATACCTCAGAGAAAGCATTGTTGTTTTTCATGAGATTGTTAACAACAGGAAAAATATACAATAACACCACCCTTCAAGCCTTGTTTAAATTATTTATTAAATACCGAACACTGGCTCATTCCAGCTTCTGAAGTGTGAGGATTTTATGTTTTTCTCTGTTTTATATTATTGCAAATTCAACAGTTTTTGGTTTTGGATTTGTTGGTCAGACAAAACAAGCAATTTAAAGGCATTTTATACCTTAAACTAAATAAAGCATGTTTGTTAGATTAATCAATCAATACAAAATACTTAATATATGCAGTCAGCTCTGTAATAGACTTGTCCAAGGTGTATCCTCACCCAGGGAGAACTAGAATCAAGTCCAGAATAACTCATGAATGGATGAACTTACAGTAATATTGGCAGCTCTAAAATGAAAGGAGTGGCACTTTTCCATCTATACCACTGTACTGTATCTTTATATATACTGTACATGTGTATGTGTGACCTATATTATGTCTTTAGGGTTTTGGTTTCACTGTGAACATAACAATCAGTCAAACTAATTAAAGATTACATAGGTTAAAGCAGAACCTTTGTGCACTAATTTGCTTTCTACACAGTACCATTTATGCTCAGCAGAGGAAGCTAGAGACTGTAGAATCAGAACTCAGGAGTGGTTTCAATGAGAATTACTGCTCCATCTTAAATCTTGACATGGCTCAAGGCAGCAAAGTGTATCCATTTTTTTGTATAAAACATCGAGTGAGAGATTTACCTGTCATTCTCCATCAGCAGAGCCAGGCGGCCGTAGTCCCATGCGGCCTTCCTCAGACAGGAGAAGATGAGCAACAGGAACTGTAACACAGAACAAGAACATGAATGCAGAAACCCTGGGAATCTGATTTACATAGTCACACAGACATTGCATCCTCATCTGCGCTTGGTCTAATGTTATCCAGACCCCTTCCTTACTGCCTGATGCGAAAGCTGAACCTGTCTCAGCACAAGTACATACAAATAATAGACAAGTTCAAAATGCAGCAGCAATACTAAGGCACCATCTTTCTTTAGAGTAGTACATGGTTGTCTTGGAAACTACCAGAGACAGGTCAGCACGCACACACAAACACATGGTGTGCATTAAAGACAAATGAGAGTGGTCAATGGCAAGAATAAATTGGAACAGCCTCCATTCTGCCGCAAATGGAGAGCAGGCGCCACATCACAATGAAATGAAAAAGAACCTATTCAGTTAAATACTAAAGTCCACAATACTTGATTCATTCTGAACATCCCTGGCTAAATATCTAAGAGCATAACTGGGCTGTGATGAATGAATGCTGACAAATGCTAATGGAGTAAAAGTGCTGATGAATGTTTGATTTTAATTATAGCATTAAATCATTAACTCATTTGAGTTAAAAAAGACATTTGGTTAAGTGGGTGGGGATGACAGCCAAATTAATAGGAAGAGAGCTCCCAGAAATGTTGAATTATTCATTCTTTAGTGATCTAAAGCCGTGCACAGACAATCAGGGCAACCTCGATCCAGGCTTGTAGATGCATAATGAGTACATCATCACACCAGTCAGGGCCCAAACTGGAATTTCCGATGTCCATCTCTTCTCTGTTGTTTTAATTTTCTTTGTCTTGATGCGTGGGCATGCTCTCCTCAAGTCCCACAGATGATTTATTCTGTATGATGATGGAATTGATGCAGAGGCGTGCTCCCATCACCTGGGGGGAAGCGTGCTGTGACTCATGCTTGTCATTAAGAGATAGCACTCAACCTCTTGTTGTCTTGACAACCAGGCAGCGATAAAATAGGCCAATTAATACATGGAAGTGGCAGATAGAGAGTGATATCGATGCAGAGATCAAGCTTGACAAGGTTTGACAGTGGAAATGACGTAGCTGACAACTGCAAGAGGAAGGCTATTATTATCTGGGAGGCAGAAAGAAAAATATACAACTGTTTGTAAACAGCCCCTACCCTATATTATACAATATGAACAGAAAGTTATGACATGTAGCTTTTGTGCAAATTTATATCCATGACATGCACAGAATAAAGTGTCTGCATTACTGTGAACTCCAACAGTCTCAACTGGGAGAAGACAAAAAAAGTCTCCGCAGTGACACTATTTTGGCAGGTGCGAAGTTCTGCGTAAAGAGGTTTATTCTGTGAAAAGGTTATGTTTTGTAGTTTTCCTTCATAGAGCACTACAAAGCTGATCAAATCAATTTGGTAAAATTTGCCGTAGTCCATTCAGAAAACAGCAGAAACTGAGATATCCTGAATTTCACACCCTTGATACCCTGTCTTTCATACTCCATGCTGTTATTTTGGAGTGTAGGCTTTCTGTTCCAGATTCCTAAATACTGACCTACTCAGACTTCAAAAAGCAGAGTCACAGAAGACATTGCCCAACTGGCTGACCAGTAGTCTTCATAATCACTAACGGATCAGATGTGTTAATTAAGAGCATGTCTCTTTAAAATACATGTCAGATGACCTGGGAGAGATACAACATCGCAAAGGTGTTTTTTCCCCACTTACATTTGGATGACAGATTGTACCTTCATTTATTATTATAATTACAGACAGTATGATGACCTGTCAGTACGGACACCATTTACAGACATTTTAGTTAAAACTGTCTTATTATTAGGTGTCTAGAAGTCAAACATGAGCATGTGTGGTTTGATGATGCACAGTATATCTGCCTTCATTTCATACGTTCATGTGTGATGTCAAGCAGTATTATCAGTACTTTAGAGAGAGGTGCTTGAGACAGGATGTCCATTAGACAGTAGGTTGTTACAGAAACAGCTCTCTGACCATGTATCACCTCCCCATATTATCTCAACAGGGTGCTGGCACCTTTGGATATACAGTGGGTATGGAAAGTATTCAGACCCCCTTAAATTTTTCACTTTTTGTTATATTGCAGCCATATGCTAAAATCATTTAAGTTCATTTTTTTCCTCATTAATGTACACACAGCACCCCATATTGACAGAAAACCACTGAATTTTTGACATTTTTGCAGATTTATTAAAAAAGAAAAACTGAAATATCACATGGTCGTATTCAGACCCTTTGCTGTGACACTCATATATTTAACTTAGGTGCTGTCCATTTCTTCTGATCATCCCTGAGATGGTTCTACACCTTCATTTGAGTCCAGCGGTGTTTGATTATACTGATTGGACGTGATTAGGAAAGCCACACACCTGTCTATACAAGACCCTACAGCTCACAGTGCATGTCAGAGGAAATGAGAATCATGAGGGCAAAGGAACTGCCTGAAGAGCTCAGAGACAGAATTGTGGCAAGGCACAGATCTGGCCAAGGTTACAAAAATATTTTTGCTGCACTTAAGGTTCCTAAGAGCACAGGGGCCTCCATAATCCTTAAATGGAAGACGTTTGGGACGACCAGAACCCTTCCTAGAGCTGGCCGTCCGGCCAAACTGAGCTATCGGGGGAGAAGAGCCTTGGTGAGAGAGGTACAGAAGAACCCAAAGATGACTGTGGCTGAGCTCCAGAGATGCAGTCGGGAGATGGGAGAAAGTTGTAGAACGTCAACCCTCAGTGGAGCCCTCCACCAGTCGGGGCTTTATGGCAGAGTGGCCCGACGGGAGCCTCTCCTCAGTGCAAGACACATGAAAGCCCGCCTGGAGTTTGCTAAAAAACACCTGAAGGACTCCAAGATGGTGATAAATAAGATTCTCTGGTCTGATGAGACCAAGATAGAACTTTTTGGCCTTAATTCTAAGTGGTATGTGTGGAGAAAACCAGGCACTGCTCATCACCTGTCCAATACAGTCCCAACAGTGAAGCATGGTGGTGGCAGCATCATGCTATGGGGGTGCTGCAGGGACAGGACGACTGGTTGCAATGGAGGGAAGGGTGAATGCGGCCAAGTACAGGGATATCCTGGACGAAAACCTTCTCCAGAGTGCTCAGGACCTCAGACTGGGCCGAAGGTTCACCTTCCAACAAGACAATGACCCTAAGCACACAGCTAAAATAACGAAGGAGTGGCTTTACAACAACTCTGTGACTGTTCTTGAATGGCCCAGCCAGAGCCCTGACTTAAACCCAATTGAGCATCTCTGGAGAGACCTGAAAATGGCTGTCCACCAACGTTTACCATCCAACCTGACAGAACTGGAGAGGATCTGCAAGGAGGAATGGCAGAGGATCCCCAAATGCAGGTGTGAAAAACTTGTTGCATCATTCCCAAAAAGACTCGTGGCTGTATTAGCTCAAAAGGGTGCTTCTACTAAATACTGAGCAAAGGGTCTGAATACTTATGACCATGTGATATTTCAGTTTTTCTTTTTTAATAAATCTGCAAAAATGTCAAAAATTCAGTGTTTTTCTGTCAATATGGGGTGCTGTGTGTACATTAGAGGAAAAAAATGAACATAAATTATTTTAGCATATGGCTGCAATATAACAAAGAGTGCCAAATTTAAGGGGGTCTGAAAACTTTCTGTACCCACTGTATAAAAAAACACTGCTATCAAGGACCTCAAAACTGCAGTATTGTAGAAAGAAGAGTGCAAACGATGGGCAGCGAGCTTCCTGGTAAGTAGATACACATGGTCTAACGCTTAGATGACTAGTTGATTGATTGAATCGCTGATGAACAGAAAATTAATTGGCTATTTTTATCATTTATGTAATTTTGTAACAGTTTTGCATTAATTACAAATTTTTAGAAACTTCATTTTCTTTAACATTTTCTGATTTTCATAACTTATGATACTAAACTGAATTTCTTTCAGATTTGAGCTGCTGGTACAAACAAAGTAAGACATTTTAAAATGTCACCTTGGGCCTTGAGAACTTGCGTTTGCATTTTTTGTGACATCCTGACATTCTATAAATCAAACAATTAATCAAGAAAATAATCTGTAGATTAATTAATATTATAGGAAGGTCTTCAGAAAAATGGCATTATGACATTTTGAAAACTGCTTCATATTAACATGAACAAACTGTGTGTCTATTGCAATATTTTATTGAGTTATTGTGTCCAAAAGTGCTATCTGATGGCCACTGGACTTGCTCGTGCACTACAGAGCTCTTTTGGAAATACCATGACCTGTATGGCTGAGAATCTCCAGAGAAATACTGGAGCCACTGTATAAACTCTGTAAATTCGAGGTGGGTGTGTGCGGGTCTGTACCATCCAGAGCACCACATTGATGGTGAGGACTGTGGGCACCCCTCCAAAGGGCAAACCTTGGAGGACACTGCTGCGGGAGTGGGAGCGGTAGCATCTCTCAGCTGTGCTGTTTTCTTCCCTAAATGAATCTAGGAAGCCCAGAACATCCAGCTCCACAAGACCGCCCTCCACTGAGGGCTCTCTCGTCACAAACAGCTCAGAGTGCGCCATCAGGACTGGACCATACCTGGAGAAAAACAGAGAATGAAGAGAGTGAGAGCGCTTAAAATTTTATAGTTTAGCTAAACCACTGTTTAGCATTTTACAGAAATGCTAAGCTCATGCAAGAGTAGTGTAAGCGGCCTAATTGACGTCTGGCCCAGATATGACCCACATCTGGTCCTGGATGTGTTCTGGCAGCCACACTAAGGCTGAGTCATCACCATCATTCCATACAGTAGGTGCACCAGAAGAAAGTGGGAGATGCATAGCACTCACTCTAAGCACATTAATGACAGCATTTGCGAGGATCAGTCTAATGACCATCACATCCATTAGCAGCCAGTGATCCGAGTCTGCTTCTTCATCCGACAAATGAAAGTAGAGATGTCACATGAAAGTGACAAACTCCATGAAAGGCAATTTTACTGTATTTTAAAAGCCATAAATAATATGTAACAGGAAACAGCTAAGCCTGTTTAACCATTTAGACAGGAATACAGAGAATGAAGAGCCTTAGTTAACAGCACAAGAGTAAAAGCTTAATCTGTGTACTCAAGTGAAAGTTGAACAGCTTGTCAACGACAGGCAGTTATCCTCTCTTTCTGTGTATTTCCCTCTGTCTGTGGAGCATGCACAGGACATGATCATTCATGCAACCATGACCACGGAATATAGGCCTCAACCATCTGTCTTCCAGCATCACACACCCCCTGCTTTTAATCAATACAGTCCTGACTCCCAGCTGCTCAGCTTGTCTACACTCCTCCCTGAATAAACAGTCCGAGGAAATGGAGCAGCAACAGGGTGCTGACAAAGCTTTACATCGCTATTGCAAATTCATCTGAGAGGCGGACATCAGTCCACAGATTTCATGGGAAACTTCGGATTCCACAATATATTCAGAGATGTTGTTACTGTGAAAGAATACTATGCTCTGTTAGTAAACGTACCATGTGCTCTTCAGCAGAAAAGGGCAGCCAAGTCTGCATCACAATCCTCTGCTGTCCAACTTGCACACGAACTGTGAGGTAACAGGAGAATGAAGTGAGTGAAAAAGGGGAGAGGAAGCTAAAGGCCTCCAAACCGGCACACAATACTGAACTGAACCTCGGTGTGATTTATCACTGCGCTAATGATGTCACGTCCCGAGAAGCACTATCACTGTTTAGTGATCCTTGTTGTGCAGCAGAAGCCGTGGCAGGAGGTCGAATGTAGGAGGTGAGCTGATCAGTGGCAGTGCTGCTGGACTGTACATCACACTATCAGAGGGGTCGGGTGAAGAACAGAAGTACAAAAATAAATCTGCACCACTATAGTCTCTGGCTTGGTTTCTGTTGTGAAAGTGTACAGCTTGCAGTCAGTATTCAGATACTGTCAGATACATGGCATCTGAGCCTCCCAGTGGAAATGACTGGGAAAGAGACTCCCTGAGGATGGATCGCAGAGCAAATCCATGATACACACACACACACACACACACACACACACACACACACGTTTCCACAGAAGCAGATGAAGCATGATTCACGTTGTTCTCTACACCAATAATGAATTAAGCCACCGGTATGGACATAAGGATTATTTTACAGCTAAAAATGTATTACATACAGGCCTACAGTGCAAGTAGAGAACATGCAGCTCTCTGAAAAACTTTAAACAAAGACTACTATCAAATGAAGCAACGAATGGCCAGGCGGAGGCCGTGGCTCCCGTCTTTAAATTAACTTATACAGGTAGATGTATGTAGTGTACATCACTACTTTAGGTAATGAGCATAATTCAAACTGATAAACTGATTTAGAGAATATTTTGAAGTCGAATGGTCAATACTAGAACAATAATTCAAGCATTCAAGTAATAGCAATAGTTTCTTTAAATTATATGCACTGGTTGCAAAAACCTAGTGGTGATACTGATTGCAGGATTTGACTGTTTTTTAAATGAATTAAATCATGACAAAGCTGCAGTAGAAAAGTAAACTGTTCTGTGCCTCTTTTCATTCCTGAGATGAGCAAACACACCCAAGAGTAGCCGACTCTGTCACAAGAGCTAAGTCAAACAGAAACGATGCCCTATAATGAAAGAAAAACATAGCTAGCTGCATAATGGAAACACAATGAACTCTGACAATGTTTGATAGGCAGAAGCTTAAACAGACCTTTATGGACTCATTGAGCCGCTTTTTCCTGCACCAGACAAGCACATCTCTCTGAACACTGCAGCCTGCTGATGCTAGCAGCGAACCTCTTCCTCTCCACCTCCAGAACAGAGCAGGATGCCTGAAGGATACGCTCTGACTGTGGTGTGGTTTCACACAACATTTGGACAAACGTCACAGCATGACTCAGCAGTTTAACCACGAGATTCTGTGGATATTCTCTTTCTGTCTCATGATTTCTCATGTGTAAACACTTAGGCATGTTCAGGCAAATCTCATGGTATCCATTTCTTCTTCAGCTTTTTCAGCTTTGCAAATCATTCTGATCTTCTTCCCTCTGTTCATTTCTCTCCTCCTCATCCCTGAACCAGGCTTCCAAGCCAGTGCAGCAGATTACTAACTGATGTTTGGCTTGGGAAGCAGTGTTGAGTCTCCCACTGGCAGAATGACTGAAATCTCTGCTCTGTGCTCAGACTAGTTGATCAATGATGCTGAAGTCAGTATAGGAGCTGTGAGCTGGTGGTACGGTTACCTGAGTTTGAGTCAGAGAAGCAGAAAGAAGCAGGCTGTAGAGAGGAAAAAGCTAACTCAGGTCAGCCAGTCTGCTCTGTGCACGGCTGAGGAATCTCTATGCGTGTGTGAGAGAGAAAGGCTATCATCCCTGAGGACATACAGACAAAGCAATCAAACTGTAAATCAGAAGATCGATAACTTGCAATAAACCTACATTCAAGCCACACATATCTATCACTTCCTCATAATATCTCGATCAAATTAGCTCCTGCTGACGCATCATTAGTTTGGTGCTGTCATCAAGTACACACTGTGGCTTAAAATACAAAGAGTCTGAGGAACTAATTGCTAGTATGGCGACATGCTCACAATGACAATGCAAAAATACTGACATTTAGCTGGCATTAGCACTGAATAAAGTACAGCCGATGCTGATGGCATGTCTTCAGCTTAGCAGATATTTGGCCATACATACAGTATTTATGTATGTATAAATAACCTACTTACACTTGGTAATGACCAAGCACTTATTAGGTACACCTGCACTAACATCAATCTTTATGAAGCTTGAAATGTTTCAACTTTAGGTGAAATTGTAGGATTTTTTTTTATTTAGTGATGTTTATTATTGATGCCACAGTTAAAGGATGAGATATTTTGGGCTGCATTATGTTCAGATGTGTTCCTAATATTCTGACCCCTCATCATCTAGGTAAATGGGGGTGGGCATAAATATAACACCACCTTTAACTACATGTATGACCGCATGAAGAAATGGAATTTAATTCATTTCTGACAGTTTGACTGAAAACCGAGCCACTGGTGGTGTTACAGGAAAGGTCAGGGGGTCACCAGAGTGACTGAAGGTCACCCTCTTGGTATCATGAATAACTGTCCCAGATTTCATGATAACCCACCCCACAATTATCAAACCTGCTGGTGGCAGGTCAGGGATTGCCAAAATGAGTCCTCTTCAGGGGACCATGAATGTCTGTACTAGATTTCATGATATGCAACTGCTGTTATTTTAAGCCAGATCAAGACGGTGGACCAGTAAACCAACAGGCTGACATTCACTGACCCGTTAATAGCTAAAGCACTGCAGACATGCAACAAACCTCCCTACAAAGAATTTAACCCATAGCATCAGTATCCACAACTCACTTTGACCATCCTTTACTGTATATACTTTTAACAGACAAGTGATTTTTTTTCATCCTGTCATGAGAAACATCTTTAGAATTAAACATGTTGGAGTCAGATCCCAATTTCCAACTGCACCAGAGCCTAGTCAGCACTGTAAATCATTTGGTGGACATCCCTGGAAGAGCCTTCCCTCCCATCGGTCCCTCAACTGGATCGAGAAACATTACCTGCCTGAGGGGATGAGAGTGAGAAGACAAAGAAATGAACCATAAATAAAATGTGAACCTATGCTGACTTCCAAACCTCTGCACCTAATCAACTGCCATTCCACTGTGAGATAGAAAATGACCCCGAAGGACAACCTGCAATCAACATAAATAAAAGAATGAGTTGTTGTTCTCTTTGCTGCAATGACTGTGGACCTGTTGTTTTTCCCTACCACTGTTCTGTGTGTGTTGCCAGAGACTGTTCTCTCTGTATGAGACACCGATAACAGCATGGAAAGGAATGATTTGGTGCATCTCCTGCCATCAACTACATCTCAAAGGCCCCAAGCTGGCAGAATATGTATGAGTGGTTTTTCCTGCTTGCTTCCAAGCTAATGGAAGTATGGAAGCAAGTGGAAAGTCACCAGGGTGTAGACGGAACAATGTAAACACGATCTAACTTAAACAATGTAAACTTAAAGGCTGCATTAACTGGTTTTCAGTCAGTTGTGGGCAGTGGAACAAGGAGAAATAACAGCACAGACCTACAGAATGACCACCTTATAAAGTTGATATGGTGTTAGTAAAAAGTTTTCTGACCACAATGTGACAGCTAGAAAGAGGCAGAGGGTTTCAGTGCAATCTGCACTCCACCTGCTCACTCGCTCTCTAGTACACAACATACGAACACAGATCACTGAGGTATGTCTGCAGTTAATGCAGCACCCCCCTCCACAACCCCCACCCCACCCAGCCTCTTTCTGAAGGCTGACCGGAGCGATGACTGCACACAAACCTAACACCTGCTTCCTGTCTGGCCGCACATGCTCAGTAGACCCCCAGGGGAGTGCAGTGTGTCTGTCCTGCTGCTGCTGCTGTGTGGATTTGGCCATTCCTCATTAGGACCCGTCTGGCATCAGTGATAGCTCTGTCTAACATGTACGCTGGATGACACTGAACCTGAACAGTTCAGTAACCACACACACAACCTGCCTGATCTGTGATTCCCCTGCATCCCTCTGAGCTTCTGGAAGGTTCTACCCACAGCTTCTTATGCTGCAAAATCTGTTGGAGCTGCTCCTAAAAATGGGCCTGTGAGAAAACTTGAGCATCCGAGTTAAAATTACCTTCACCCCCCACATTTATCAAAACCTAACCCTGCTCATCAGATGAGATTCTTTCAGAAAAATCTCTACTCTCTCTACGTAAACCATATTCAACCTTAACATGAAGTTACTCAACACGTGTCAGCATACTAACACAATCAGCGTTGGCAGCATCACTATCTCTGTTTAGCTTACTATTCATAGTTTTTACTTATGGATGTTCAACAGCAAATAAAAGGACAATACAGTGGTTGTGTATGTTTCAGCCAAAGATTTGTGTATATACTGCAGTACACTTCAATTGTCAGGTCAGTTTATTAATAAATACATGGTGGAATCAAACTGCAGGCACAAATTTGTTATCAGCTACCCTGCACCCCCATTTAATGTGTGTTAATTATGCTCCCTTTTAATTAATACACTACTAATTACTAATTACTTACTCTCCTTAATTACTGTCAACCATTTTCCAAAGCAGGAGGTTTCTTTCTTTCTTATCGCCCAGGAAGTCAGTGGTTTACACTTATTTTTTTTCATAATATGAAAATTAATTTAAAGGCTTTAACTATGAGGAGATGTATTAATATGTTGTCATGGTTACAGTATATTGTTGCCTGCTGGGATTGTGATCAAAAAAGCATCAACTCTCAGACTGGAGAGTTAGTTGATGAGCAGCAGCCTTTTTAGAATGTCAAAATCTATATTATTCTTTCCTCATTGTCTACAGTATATCTTCTTAATGTTTGTCTTCACTTGGTTTTTTTACAGGAAATACTTCTCAATGCAAAGCCTTTTCCCACAGTATCTCATTTACATATTGTAAGGAAATTAAAAGCAGATAATGGCTGACTGGAAATGAGAAGCTCAATCTAAAACCTGCATTGCTTTAGAAAATGGCCAATGATACTATGAAGTAGAGCTTCAACTAATGTTTATATCCATTATCAATGAATCTGTCAATAATTAATCTGGAACCACTGGACTTTATGCTTTTCCCATAGAAATTACTTAAACGATTGATTATCAAAATATTTGCTGATTTATTTCCTGTCAAAACTATTTGTTAATTGTTGGAGCTCTGATATAAAGTATTTAAAGTAAGGTCATTTAAAAATAACAGAGAATCAGGATCACAGCTGTCAGAAGACAAAGCCTGCTCAAGTCGCAGCATCTGATGTCGCTACACGCAGAATCTCTTCTGCTCATGTGCTATCCTGCAGAATATCAGATGGTGCTTCGAGGCCACAGTGCATGTACAACAGGCTTAGGCAGTGTAAAATGTGTGATAAGTGATCTGTGCATGACTGTGGATATCTAATGCTGCTTCCTACACTAGTGTATAGTAAGCTTATGGCAGTATGCTCTCTGGTGGTGACAGTCTGTGTACAATACATGACTAACAATGCAGCACATGTTAGTGTCACTGGGACGGACCCCTCTGGAACAGCAAGTAAGTTCACAGCATAGCTGGGAGCCTGCTCTCCAAAGGTGAGCCTATATAGTAGATACTTGTTTAGATGGCAGGTGGAGTACAAACCGAGGTTTCACAGCTAACCACAACGTCACCAGCTGTTTTGTTCTGATACTCTGCTTGTGTTTGTTTTCCTGTCATGAGCCTCTCACCAAAGCATTGTCTGACATTTCTACTGATCTCCAGCTAACTGTGACATGTGGATGGCGAGATGAGTCACAGAAATACATCTCACACATGATGCAATCTTAGATGTATGGCACACACATACACCTGCATCCCACATGTAACTACCAGCACCACCACTATTCTTGTCACCACTACCAGAGAGGGCAGGAAGACGCCTGTTTGGTGCTGTGCTGTAGTGGGTGTGATCTATTATCACTGTGGGCTGTTTCTTTCAGATACTCACTCTGGGCTCAAGCGAAGCATAAACTCTTATTCTTTTGTGTATTAAAGGCAGGGAGACGGGGATGATCCAATCAGGGGCAGATCTAGAAATCTTTGAGAAGGGGTAGCCAGGCTGGGGCACAGACTCAGAGAGGACTGGTACATTTAAAATAGATGTAAAAAGTAAATGAAACCCCTAGTTGAGTGAATTAATAAACCACACATTATTAAGAATGAACCTGTTTTGTGTAAAAATGAGACACACGTAGGTGCTTTAGCTAACTCTGGCTGCACTCCTTATTTACTCCCAGCCGGGGACATCGCTGCTGCAGAGTGGCTCCCCCCACTGAATTGGATCATGCCAAGTACTCCACGATAACAAAATCAGAGAAGTGAATACAAACGTCATGGTGAGTGCACGATATAAAACTAATCTGCACAATATCAATTAGCTGTATTTAAGGCAAACACTTGTCATTGTTTTTCATTCATTAATACCAACAAGCATCACATTTTGCGGGAGCTGTCCAGCTGCTCAAGGTGCTGAAACAACTAAAAAAAAGAAAAAGAAAACCTCAAACATAAACTAGATCCATGGACTAAAGCTTATGTTTCCTTATAATATTCTCAAATGCATAATGTACTCATCTTCTTGCTCAGCAGCTGTTGTACAAGTCCACCATATCCATCTCAAGCTCTGTTTTCAATCTCAGCTTAGAGGCCCGTGAAATATTAATGCCTGTGTGATACTCGAAGATGGCCAGCATTTATTCTCAACTTGGACTTACTGTGTCCTCTTCCTTGAGATGTCTCATTAAAATTTAACACAACAGCCCACTGAACATTTTTTGATGACCAAACACTCAAGAAAGTATACTCCTGCACAGTGTCGAGAGAAAGCAACATTTTGGATTTAAGAAGCCATAAAAGGAACCAAATCAGAAAAACAGATTCAATTACATTTTCAAAAACTGATAAAAACATTTCAATTTGTTCAGGAGTTTATTACCTGCACACTTAGCAAGTGCAGTTGCTAGTTGCAAAGACTTTCATTGAAATCCTCAAATGTCTTCCAAGGCATAACATCTCTATTTATAGAAGTCATAAATGCCAGTCTGGAAACAGGATACAGCTCTGCTCTAATTAATGCACAACACTAACTGCCATCATCACTGCCATTATCCTCAGATGTATTTGTGTATATGGACCTCTTGGAATGACTATATTTTTATTAAAATTAAGTTAAATACCTCAATATCACTTTCCAATACAAGTAATAAGGCCTTTCTTCAACCCTTTGTATTTTAATATGCTGCTGTGCAAATGCAAAGTGCAAGAGTCCCACCGAAATTTCAAAACAACAAAAATCCATCCAGCCATCCATCATCTATACCAGGGTTACACCCTGGACAGGTCACTAGTCTATCACAGGGCTAAAACAACAAACAAGCAGACAAAAATCATAAATTTAATCTGGCATTTTAAAGGCCACATCTCTTCATCATAGTCTGTGAAACTGCAGGAGCTCTGACTTTATTTATTATGGATTCTGCCTTTGCTGTCAAACTACATGGCCTCATAATAAAATAAGATAAACCAAAAGTGAGCATTTTCAAAAACATAAATGACTATATATAGTAGTCATCCAGGGGAAATTCACTTAATATATATACAGCAATGACCTCAGTTTATCTGTAAAACGGCATTAGTTGCCTCAACCAGTCAAACTAATTGCTCACTAGACCAACACTGGCTTTGTGCCTGTATGGATCCAAGCAAGTCCAGACTGATACTGCAGAGAGAAGACAGCATGGTCACAGCATGAGTGGAAGCCACAAGTATTTCTGATCAGAGGCTCATATACAGACCTCCATTACAGACTTATCACCTGACTGGCTCCATGAGGAACAATAGGTGATGTAGCGAGAGGAAGGACGGCATCTGTTATGGGTGTGAAGGTCTGACACGTTGCCAGAAACATCCTCCTCCTCACCAACCAATAACAGCACTGAGCCATGACGCAAGGAGTTTCTGAGCGTTGACATGCAACTACATATTATAACCGCATCTTCCTATTTTAAAGAAAATGTGGTTATCACACCAATCGGGCAATTTCTGGGGAAGGCTCTGTGTCCATCTGCTGTCTGCAGCACCCACAACAGTGCGTGCACACCCATGTAAACTTGATGGAAACGACTGCGCCACAAATAACGAGAATAAACTCTCCCAGTTCACGTTTCGATCGCCTAGCAGATCCATGAGCTTTAAAATTCACAGCTCACCTTAGAAAGCTTCCTGATCGATGGCGTGCGCTGACGACCTGGATACTGCTGAGCTTTATCCTCCAACACCAACAAACAAGAGAAACTCCCAGCTACTCAGGGGCCGTCTGACAATAAAACACCTGCCTTGAAGGCGGCTAAGGGACCGTCAAGTAATGTTGCCTAGAATCTCATTTTAGGATGCGCAGGTTAGTTATTCCAATACTGTGACCAGCGATCCGGGTTAAAGTTACCTATTTAGTTGATACATTTGTATTGTAATCTATATTTTTAAAGATTTTAGCGGTTTCATTAACGTGGTTTAGGCCATGGGACAACACAAGACAAGCAAAGCGTGGATATGGTCCGTCTGCAAAATATAATACATAAATATCACTGATATGACAACACTCACACTTGGCTGTAAAATAATTGAGGGTGCATTGCCACCTACTGGAACATTTACTTTCTTGCATTATCATAAAACCCTGCAGTCAATCATTATCCCACTCAAATAGTTTTCTCTTTTGTTCCTTACCTTTTCATGAATCACATTGACTGGTGGAGGGCGACTAAGCTTACTTCATCCAGGTTGTATTTAGGTTTCACTTCATAATACTTTATTCGTTTAGCCAATTCACAGGCAAATATTGCGCTTCAAAAAAATCTAGCCTTACCTTAGCGACCGTATTTACCTTACAAGCTAAGATTTTCCATATAACACATTAGAGCAGTTTACAAAATATGACACATTGTTATAAATTACTGGGACTAGGTTAAATACAATGTTTAAACTAAAAATGATTTTTACACATAAATACATCACAATGATAATCTGATAACAGGCCTATAATATCTAACATGCTGAGGCAAGTTATCTGCATTGAGTAATTTAGAACAGTTTGTTACAGTAATAATGATTTTTTTTAAAATAAATTTTAAGTTAATATGTAATTGGCTTCTTTTATTCCCAATAAAACAGTTCCACAGTTTGGTACTACCACTTTCACTTAAGTAAATGATTTGAATATCTCTTTTATAAATGTCAAAATAACATTTAAATATTGCTCTAATGCAGTGGATAAAGGCCAAAGCGTATTTTTAAAAGCATCTCCAAAAACTGCAAGTTAAATATATAAAACCCATCCAGACCAACAGGCGGCGGCAGACAAAGGAGCAGATCCCGTTCTAGTGAAACAAGACGTCAGTGTGATGCTCAGCATCACCTTCTTCTCTGCCTTTGAGTGAACCTGAGCTGTGAGCAGAGGCTCCTCCGCTCCTTGACATCTGCAGGTAGGATGGGGGAAGATGACTGCTTTCATTTCGTCGACATGGACATAAAATGATTGGCACCGGTTTAATATGTTTTCTAAGGAAATCAGACAACAGATTAGATAGTGGTGACTGCGATAGTCCGTGATCATAACTGCTGACTGTCCTGTGGGGCATGAAGTGGCCTACAGGAGAGCTTCCCGCGGTGTTTTCACGCGAAAGCCTCCATTTAATCATGTAAAGACCCAGCTTTTGGTTTTAATCCGGTAGCTCCTTGCTTCCTTCTGTTCGTGGTTTAGTAAAGTAGGTTACGAGATCACTGAAAATAGTGAGATATTCTTGTACTGTCAATGGCCCCTGAGAATCTCTGGGCGCACATCTGTTCAGAAATGGGTTTCTCTCTGCGCAGACTTACAAAAAGCCAGAAACACAACAGTGATGATCTACCGCGGATTATAACAAGAGTGTTCTCTCTAATCTGCCGGTGTCCATTTAAATTGGCCAAAAAGAAATAAATAAAAGATGAAATATAGTTGGTGACTGATATCCTATACAATATTTTTATGCATTTTCGAAAATGTTGTATTTATTGATAGTTGTTACTAATGTTTAGTGGTGGAAGTAGTACTCAGATTATTTACTTAGTAATTTACACCACAGTGTAAACATAATGTTAAAAGTTTAAGCCCTGCATGAGTAAAAGTATAACAGTATTGGCTTAAAATATACTTAAAGTACTAAAAGTTAAAAGTACTCAATATGCAGAATGGCACAGTTCACATTAATGTACAGTATATCATTATAATATTGATGTATTATCGTGCACATCACATTTAATGCTGATGTTAACTACCTTTAAAGTAGTTTACATACTGCTGAGTAGCTTGTAAATTTCTCATCAGGCATCAATAAAGTCTTATGATAATACTGTATTTTGGTTAATTAATCAGTCTGAAAAGTAACTAGTAACTAAAGTTATTAAATAAATGTAGTGGGTAAAAAGTTGAATAGTTTTCTGTAAAATGTAGTGAAGTATGAAGTAGCAGAAAATGAAAATACTCAAGTGCAGATACCTCAAAATTGTACTTAAGTACAGTACTTGAGTAAATGTACTTAGCTACTTTCCACTGCTGCTAATGTTAATGTTGCAGTTAAAATGTTTTATGTTTTGATGCCCATGATGAAGATGAAGTTAGTGTGTATAGCAACTTTTTTGTTTACTCAGATGATGAGACAGAATGGATCCTCTTAACTTTTCATTGTTCTTGGTAAACAGGGTGGGTGAAAAGTAACTAGGCATTAAAAATTGGCTATAGAACTTGTAGTATTACTGGAGTTATGATGAAAACAGTCTCTAAATAGACGACAGTAAATAGGATTTCATATTTCAATCAATTTGTATTAGAAATATGGACTTTATTACCAATTTTTAATGCTTACTTTTCACCCACCATGTACATTGGAGATTTTTCCTCCATCAAACTCACTGCCTTTACACAGACTAGAAAAAGAAAAGTGCTGCTATTACAATAACCTCTCCAAGCCACTGGCAGATGTCAGTTACCATATAATATTCTTACTATGTCTTCTTCATTCTCACACAGATATGTTCACCAGGATGTTAAAACTTCGGCTGCTCAATGCCGTAGCACCTACATACTTCTTCTTGGCTACAGCAGTCACCTTCATTTTGCACTTCTGTTTCTTCATTCCAACAATATTCCCAACCCCAGACACGTCACTGAGGGGGTCTCCGACTCTTCACGCGGTTGTTTTTCTTTTCTTGATGTTCAATGCACTGGGGAAAGTGCCAACGAGACTGTGATTCCGGTGTGTTCACCGCACTGCTCAGACAAAGTGGACGCTCACTACCTCCTAAACGGTCGTCACTTCTGCAAACTGTGTAAGAAAGTGATTCTCAAGAGGGATCACCATTGCTTTTTCACTGGAAACTGCATCGGCAACAGAAACATGCGCTACTTCATCATGTTCTGCATCTACACATCATGCATATGTTTGTACTCTCTGGTTCTTGGCGTGGCCTTTCTAACAGTGGAGTACTCTATGTCCTTTGAGAACCCGCTGACCTTCCTGACTCTTCTGCCCCTGTCCACTGGTTACTTCTTTATGGGTGAGTTGTTATATTTAAAACACACAACTTGCTATCTAAATTATTTCTTACTTCTCAGTGTTTTCCTACAGGAACAATCTCAGGCTTGCAGCTGTTTGTGGTGCTGATGCTCTATGTATGGCTGGGCATCGGCCTGGTGTCTGCGGGCTTCTGCTGCCAGCAGGTTCTGCTGGTGGCCCGAGGACAGACCTGGTGTCAGCTGCAGAGGGGGCAGCTTGTGGAGAATCACAGTCCCTGGAGAGCCAACCTCAAGGATGTATTTGGTACCCGCTGGATCCTCGGCCTTATCCTGCCTGTGCAGACAGCGGAGATGTGCTCAGAAGACACAGATGCACATAAACAAGACTGAGTAATGACCACAGGTCATGGTGATTACTCCCAATAGGTCACACAAGCAGCACAAATTGTAGAAAATGCTTTCTTTGGATACATGTGGCAGTTAGTTTAAATACTAAATGGTTGCTTTATGACCTCTAAGGTTGTCCGTGAAATACATAGCTATTAGCATACATTCCTTTAAGGACAGGAGCCATATAAGCATTGTGGAACTTTTAAATAAGCGCATAGTGTAAGTGCATCCTTTAAGTAGCTTTTTACAAGGCAATATAAGACAGATATGTTGGCCATTTTTGACATAGAACAGTTGCATGGACATGCACTTACTACATGGTCACATCAAATAATCAAGATAGCTTTGCATAAGTGCGTGCATTTACAGCTTTGCAGTTTTGTATTACGCAACTTATTTGAATGCCTGTGCCATGTGGTGCTCCGACATTGTCCGAGTGTGTTGTTCTTCCACACGTCTTTGTAGGATACTACAGTGTCACTTTCAGGAAACTTTCTGGTGACAATAAATCACTTGACATTAAGGGCTAGCAAATGGGAAACTACAGTGTTTAGCATAAACTGCCAGACTTGACACCATTGTTTTGACAAACTGTGAAATGCTGAGCCTGATTCAACTCAAAAGAATGTGATACAGAGAGTTTGATGAAGGTCCAGTGATTTTCTCCTTCATAAGAAAAGGTAGGGGAAACCTTAAGATGATTACCATGCTATTATCCAGGGTATTATTCACAATGTGCCATAAAGTCATGTGTTACATGCTTACAGATGACCCCAGAAAGTGAGGAATCCACTACACTGCTGATGGCAGAGCCCTCTGTATAATAATAGTAAGGACTTGTCACTGTTTCACTGCAGCTATAGCTACAATTCAGCATCGAGTCAAAGATGTTTTGAACTTCAGTACTTTTTAGAGCTATTTTGTCTATTCCTGCTATACCAATAAAAGTATTCAAATTAGAACAAGCAGCCATTCTTTCTTTTCACAGAGCTACACACTCTGAGCTAGGAAAATGCAACAAACAACAGAGGAAATGGTCTCCAAACAGTTTGACAATTCATTATTAGTTGAAGTGACTTTTGTTAAAAGAAAGAATACAGAAAACACATTTCACAAAAGGATCTCTGAAAAGTAATCTTAAAATGTTTGCAACGCTTCTTGACCATCTTAAAACCAAGACTGATTTGATTATTACTTCATTTTACAACCACTGACTAAAAATTGTGCAACAGAAGTGTTTTGTTGCTAAAATAAGTAACAACACAACATTTAAAATGGGACCATTTCTGACTGCACCTGTCTTTCTCGTTATCTTTTTACTACAAATCTGTGTGCATTATCTTGCCACAGTATTGTTTTGGAGAAGAATGTTAATTCTTTGGAGATGTTTAAGAACATTCAACTTTCTTCCACATGAAGCTCATGATGAAATAATATAAATTATGTATCCAGAAGTAGAAACATGAACATATTCAAAAGGCAAATGCATCCAGATAAACATTTATATTCAAATTATTTTAACAAGACAGAATGCTCGTTTAGAGAAACAGGTTGTTACATTTGTCTAAAATGTTGTTAGTGATCTTGTAACTAAAGTGCGATATGAAACCAAATGAAATTATTTAACCGTCTTAAAATTTCAATTAATACAACATCATACTAAGCCTAAAGCCAGAGTAAGGACGAACATGGTGGCAACATATGCAAAGTCAAAATGATGTGGTTACAGCACTTTACTTGCTACAGTTCAAGCATCCAACAAATTCCTACACAGTTCTTAAAGGTAGATACTGAAAAAAGCCTGTTTTACCAGTGAACTGGCAACATTATGTGCTCAGTTTGTTTCTATTATTCACACAGTTTTAGTCTTTACTATTATTAATATTGTTGCAAATAAATAAAAGACAGCAAGTAACAAAATTATAAAAACAAAAAACAAAAACACAAACAAAAAACTATGTTGTGGGTTGGAAAGCCCTCCGTACTCCCACTGTAAGCTAGTGAGCTGTTGTCTGGCAAACACAATTTCTCTTTCAGTTTACTATCTGGTTCAAAAACCAAGTAAACAGTAAAAAGTCAGTAACTCAAGATGCACCTCAGTCAGGAGAACAATGAAGCATGCCACATGTCGAGGTTTCCATTTGATCTAAAATGTTAATTTCTCTACAGCAATCACATTCAAGGCAAGGAATTAACCCCATGTGTCCTCGCATATGCTGCATGCATTTAGACAATACAGAAGCCATAGCCCTATTACAAGTGATACTTGCTATTTTAAAACGACAGAGGAAAGAATATTCTTTAAAGGTGAAGGTTTGTACCTTAAGCATGCTTCTTAACTGCCACTTGGTAACAGTGGATATGCGTCAGCTTCATGTTTGGAGGCTAGACCAGCAGCTCTGAATGGTATTCTTTCCATTACCTGCAAAATTAAGATGTACAAATGCATGAAAGCATAAAGCTGAGTTCAATTATTGTTTGCTTAGTTGCTGTGTTGACAATTTCACAAGAAGAAAGTTTCAAAGGTGCACAGTGTGTGAGATTTAATGTCTTCTAGTGGCGAATTTGCAGATTGCAATGCTCAGCAAAGCTCATACATTACTACTTCTTTGTCTCCAGTCTCCAAATCCAAGCTGCTACTTCAATGTGAAAATGCAAAATTCACACTCTAGAGCCAGTGCGTGGTTTGTCTGTTCTGGGCTACTGTAAAAAACATGGTGGCTCAACATGCCGGCCTTTATGATAGGGGACCTGCTCCTATGTAGATATAAAAGCCTCATGCTAGACTAAAGAACATGCAGCGATTCTCAATTTCTGGTGAGTGCACATCAATGAAAACATAATTATGCATACTATAGCCCATTTCCATTAAGAAATCCTAAAAGTTACACACTGCACCTTTAACTGTAAAGATGTGAGACATTTTTTCCACATCCATTAAAATTATCTTCTGTCCCCCTAATTGAGAACTGCTGGTCATGTCCACCAACATATTACATCAGGACTCTCTGAACTTTAGTCCCCGACTGTTCCTTGTCTGTGTCCTGCAGAGAGAGTTGGAGTTTCGTCCAGAGCTGTGGGTCTCCGCTGCTCAGAGCCTCCAGCAGCAGAGCTGTTTGCTCCTGCAGCCGCTGCAGCTGGCCTTGGGTGCGCTTATTCTCCCTGATCAGCTGCTTCGTGCGCAGCGTGATCCCCAGCAAACCAGACTTGTTGAGAATATTGTAGGTATTGCTGAAACGTTTCAGTTTGTTGCTGTCCGCTGAGAGGACATCCTGGTATTTGACAGAATGGGTCTTGTTGCTGTCTACCTCCATACTAAATTCATCTAAGGGAAACAGAAAGCTGGTTCCTGCCAGTGGGGAAGGAGACCTGTCAATGGGCAGTTCCTGACTCTTAGCAGCCTGTGCTTGGTTGGTTTCTGCTTCAAAGCTGGAGATGACTTTGACTGGAGTTTCCGGAGTTAGCTGTGGGCTGGGGGAGCTGTAGAGCCCGTGACTGTGTTGGTGCCGTCGCTTTCGCTGGTCGTACCGCGCTCTTGAACTCACCCTGGAGGATCCCATCCTTTTAGCTGGCACCTCCACAGGCTGTGGTGCAATTCTGGGATATGATTTGAGGATGGGCATGTAGCTTTTTGATTGCTGGATATTTTCGGGGCACATTTTTGGAGTGTTGCTGCTGCCATTTGCTACCATAGGTTGAAGAAGAACCACCTGTGACTGAGGTATTACTTCCAAGGGTGAAGGAAAGCCCCACTGCTTTTCTATTGGGTCAATCGTCGATGGCTAAAAGGGGGGAAAAAAAGTTAATATCATACTATAAAACAAAAGTATAAAACAGTAAATATTTAAGGTATAGTTGGCAATCTTGGAAGAACCAAAAAGTGGAAACTTCACTTTGAAAGTAGGCCAAAGAAATATCATCCTGACTTCTCTCCAAAGCCACTCCTTCAAAACACAACGTGCACTGCCTGACTACTACTTACATATTTCAGGAAAATAACAAATCCCCTCCAAATAAAACAAAAATTACCTGTCCAGCAGAAATATGGCCACTACAGAGTCATATTTCAGCCCCTTTTGTTCTCTCAGTTGTTGCCATCGTTTAAAAGTCACACCAATGTTAACTCTGGTTTTATGTCTTTGCGGCATCCAACTTCTTTTTAGTTGTAACTTTCTCGAATACGGTCTCTGTTTGCGACTGAAAGCTGCTGTAGGTGTACCTTTTTGCCATAGGTCGCTAGCTTTAGCTATAAAAAAAGAGCAGTACCACAACTGCCTGCATGGGCTTGTAGGAGACTCTCGGCTCGCCCAATGAGTGCAAGGGCAGAGTCCGCACAAGTAGGAAGTTAAGTTGACTGGCACGTAGGTCATTCAATGGTTTTGCTCAGACCAAGTAAATTACTGGTCAGGCTTTTTTCAGCCGTGCTACTGCCATAGATATTTTGTCAGTGCGTTTAATGTATTCATTGCTATTGGGATAAAAAAAAAAAAAAAAATCAAGAAAATGTAACAAAAATGCTTCTGAAATGAATCGCCAACCCTACCTTTAAACATAAATGACATACAATCGAAACATTGCAACACAAATGTTACCCATTATAATTAACACTAACTACAATGTACTTGTAACTTTACACATGCACTCTCTTAACAGCACATTGACAATAAAACCCTGGCTTAATCTGTACTGAATTATACCCAAATGAGAGACAGAGACTAAACTAAAATAATGCAGGAATGTTGGCTGGTAAATCAGCTGCAAGAACTAATTAGCCATCTCTTAAATATTAAAAGAAAAAGCTCTATAAATGACCAGAACAATACCAGACAAACACAGTGCTGAATTTCTTTCTGGAAGAAGAATGTTGCTGTGATGCAACTACGAATCTCTGTTTTACACCAAATTAAAAAAGCCAGAAAAAAATGATTTTCAGTAAAATGACTGACACAGTAAAAAAGATTTACCACAGCAATGAGAGAAACCATCCTAAGAAAAGGCTAACATACACTGCTGTATTTTACCTGCTTTAAGACAAAGTTGTTCATGATGATCATTGGAGATAGTCCAGCATATGAGCCCCCCATCACAGCCACCTGCGGACCAGTTGGGCCCTGGCCGATTATCAACCCATTCCTTCCTGCATCTTCAGAGTCAGTAAGATCAACTGTACTGAGGTACTCAGAGCTGGCATCTGAGGAAGAAAAGGCAAGCATATGGGTCTCATCATGTTTAAAAAGCAACAGATTGACCTTTCTATTATGTCCAGAACCTGAGAGACAACATCAGTACTATGAGAACCGGGGCAGATACATAAGTATCTCCAGAGCAATTGCAAAAGTATATCATCAACCTGATGAGGAGGGCTAATCAAATCCAGGTCAGCCTTGTGTGTGATAAAGGTCCTAAGAAAAACTGGCCCAATAGAGGATAGCCAACATGGAAAGTGTGACCTAGATCTCTAGATTTTATTAGGGTTGACCTTGTTTATGACTCAATAGTCACGTTTTCTAGTAATGGAAACGCTAATCATATATACTTACACAACATGTGCCACACTGACAACACCGCAATGTGAACAAACAAAAATGTCAAAGGATAAAACATATACAAAGAAACACAGAGGTTAAATGTTTATCTCTGTGAAGCAATGTAACTCAATCAAACCTGAGAAGCCTGAATCTCTCTCCAGGTCAGGCTTGGGTGTTCCAAGGTGTGTTGCCCTGGTGAACGGTGGTGTCCTGTGTCTGTCTGGTCTCCTGAAACTGCTCATGCCTGTCTCTTCAGGAAAAAAAATACAAAATGTGGGCAGTATGGTCACGCAGTGGTTAGAGCTGTTGCCTCAGAGCATGTAGGTTCTGGGTTCGAGCTCTGGTCAGCCCGGTGCCTTTCTGTGCAGAGTTTGCATGTTCTCCCTGTGGCTGCTTGGGTTCTCTCTGACTAGAATAGACTGGCAACCTGTCCAAGGTGTACCCCACCTCTCGCCTGATGTCAGCTGGGATTGGCTCCAGCCCCCTATCACCCTCCTCAGGATAAGTGGTATAGATAATGGATGGATAGATAAAAAAAAATGTAGAATCAAGGGTTGAACTAACAAGATCTAAACAGTTATCCTGGATCTAGCAAAGCCAATGCCTAGCAAAGCTCTGACATAGTTCACTTTGTTTTTGCCTTGAGTTCAGGGTACTGGGTAAAAGCAAAGACTATAAAGATGCAGAGGGATTATTTGCTGTATTACTTGCAGTGTATATAACCCTATATATTATATTATCCTCCGTCATTTTGGTGTCTTAATGTCAGGGAACAGTTATACTGTCTGGTCATGGAGAACATTTCAATGCTAACATCACATATCTAATTAGTACTGATGGGTCATTAGGTCTCCCCGATCAGCCTCCTTTACACCAAGTGACTAAATCAGGAGCACCAATTTGATGCAATGCAATATCCTCGTTATTTATACATAAACATGGGTGACAAACTAAAGGGAAAACTAACATAAAGTGAACAACACAGACATTTTAATAAGAACAGCTTTAGTGCTCCTCTGCTGGAGGGAGGAAACATTCATTCTTCCAAAACATTCCCTCACTGGGTTCAACACACTTTTTAATGGACATTCAGTGCAGAGATGCAACCATTAGTCAATTAATTGATAGAAAATTAACCTTTAAAGGCTGTATTTTGTGCTTGTAAACATTAAACATCATTATTACATTAATATGGGTTTATTTCGTCCACTACATTTAGACAGAAAAACATATGTACACAACAAATAAGGTGACGCTATGTTTTGAACAAGACATGAATCAGGTCAAAGACCTAACAACAAACTAATTATTATAAAGGTCGCGACGTTTAAGGGCCTGTTGCTCCCATACAGAGCTACTGTAAGAGATGCTTTTGCCATTTCCCAACACTTTATGTGTGTACCATATGATGTATAGACAAAAAAAAGACGTCATGCCAAACACGTTATGGCCGTGTCTGAACTGTCCAGCGGCTAACGTTATTTATTTAACTTAATTATACAACTTGCATTGTTATTGTTTAACGTTACACACGCAACTTTGGCAACACTAATGTTAGCTAACTATTAACAAGTCGTGAAGGCAGTTGACATACACTAGTTAACTTTTATTTGTTAAAACGTAAAAACATTTCATGTGAAATGAAACATTAGCTGAGAACGACTGTTTACTGCCCTGCCCCCGTGCTAATGCTAGCTCACGTTAACGCAGCTTTAGCTTGGCAGCCAGCATATCACTGTACTGTCAACAACATATTTAGCCAATAGTACTATTTTTGTAAACCTTACCAATATTTCGCTTGCTTGAAAACATATTGCTGTTTGTACTGACATCCAATGTTATATGTGTCTTCTAGTAGTGCTTGACTCTTTCTTAGCTAACGATTCCACTACACTTCATTTCCGACTGTGCTCATTAAGTGAAGCCCTCACGGATGCTTTGCAGGCAGCCCCAGTTCGCTAATGAAATTTTCGCGGTGGCACAGAAGACCATATAAGCTGGCAAATAAATATTTATTGCACAGGTTGACGCCTCTCAGTTCTTTATATGCGATGAAGTAATTATGAAATACATTCTTTTGTTTTGAAACAAAATGTACTAATACAGTAGTGGCATAATAAGGGGAATGCACAAAGCACATTTTCAATCTGTCACATTAATGTTTCTTGTAACACTTTTGAGTGTGCACAAATGTAATATTTATCTTGGCAGCAGTGATGAATCAGCTGTGGTTGTCTTTTTGTTTCAAGTGATGAATATATGGGACCTCCTGCTAAGACACATCTGAGGGCTCAAATTTCCTGGAGGCACAGATGTTGTTGCCAGGGCAACGAGTCAGCTCCAGTTTTATTTTTCCAGGAAGTCGAGGAGCATTTGTTTTAAGGTGTGTGCGCCCCTCAATAAATACGCGTATTTTTTAAAACAAATATCGATATCATAGTAGGCTGTTGTTTGAGAGAATGTGAAATATTCCGTCAACAAAGTAGGTTATGAATTTACAAAAATCCTGAGAAGGTCAGACTCACTTATTGTAGTGATCATAAAGCATGATTCAGTATCATATTCTCAGCTGCAGAACCATTTCCCAGTTCCTTCACTGCCATTACTCTGTGCAGTGATGCAAATACAGTACATGCTGATTGTTCAAACCAGAACAATAATGGTTCTTGATAAAGCAGTGCTCATGGAGTCACTGGCCCAAGAATAGTCGCCTCCAGATCAGTGTTTCTAGACCACAGCGCAACAACCCGTATGCTCGCTGTCATCCTGTCACCCACTGTGCTCACAGAGGGGAAACTCTGTGTTGTACAGAATATGTTTCTACCCAGCTAATTTGTCAAATCCATTTTAATGAAGATGCTATTGTTATTTGGATTACATTAGTTGTGTGATATTCTTATAGACTACTGCCCCTAACTTGTGGCTGATGGGGTAGATGGTTAAGTGTACAGGGCACTGACTGGATGAACAACTTATTTTTAGGTTTAGGCAGCTACCAAATTTAAAGCTGCACTAATCAGTGTTTTTAAGAACTGTGTAGTGTTAACATGAAAGGGCTTGATTGTGCTTGATAGGCACAATTATCACTCCCACTGAACATTTCCTGCTAAGTTTTACCTCATTCTGATGTTATGGCAGTACAGTAAACCTGGGCAATAAAATGTTTCTTACAAAAGTGTTTGCAGTAAATCACACAAACGCGACACTCAGTAATAAGGTGATTATACATGTGACCAGTGGTGGAAATTCACAACATATAGCATATAGCAGGGCTGTGGACTCGTGTAGTTTTCCCAATGTGTGGGAAAATTTGTTGTGCAAAGTCATTCTGTGAACATCCACCATTGTGGTGTTTTTCTGCTGCAACACACAGCAAGGAAAACGGTCTGACATGGTATGCCAGTCACGAATGTAACACCTGCCATCTGCAGCTTTTTTTCAGATCACTGTGGATGTTTGTTTTTGTAGTAACCCTCCCTGCAATACTTAAAACTGATCCACTGACTGTCACAAGCTCACTGCGGTCAGCCGAGCTACGAAGTAGGACAACAGCAGCACGACACTCCCCCTGCTGTGAGGCAGTAGTGGTAATGGGTGTCATCAAGGCTTGGCTTGCTACAGCCCTACTAAAACTAATCTGCGTTAAGTATTGCAACTTGCTTGAGTGTGCACTAATTAAACCTGCACTAATTTTTAAGAACTGTGTAGTGTTAACGTGTTTAGTTATGTGTGAAATCACTCTGGTAATAAGATGCACAGAGGTAGAAGAAATATAGTCCCCCCTGTGTCAGGTTTGCTCGGCCGCTCTGGCCTCCCTCACCTTTCCTACCGTCTCTTGCCCCATTTACACTAATCACGTTCACCTGTTCCTCACTCCCTTATCACCAGCTGCACTTGATTAGGTCACTCACTATATTACCCGGTTTCACTCCTCAGTCACTTGCCAGTTCGTTCTAGTCTCTAGGCCATTTTTTCTCCTGTGCTCTTTTGTTTTTTGTATGTATTTATCCCCTAGCCAGCTACTGTTTTGTGTTCCCTCCATGGACTGTTCCTCCGGACCGTGGCTCCACTCTCCCCTCCCAGGCAGATCAATGCTCAGTCGCCTATCTGTTCTACTATTGCCTTCATCTCTCTGTCTCTACCTTCAGTAGCCACCATCACCACCGACCAGCCCAGGAGTGACCCAGCCTACGCAGCTCGGCCCAGCTCTCCATCTCCTCACCTCCTACTGTTGGTCAATACCCGGTTACTACTCATCGACAGGACTACGCACTATTTCCCTCTGTGCATTTTGTTATTTCTCCTCATCACTGTACATAATAAATCACTGCTTGCATCAAAGTCAGCTACCTGGGTCCGCCTCTTTCTCATTCGCTCACTGACAGGTGCGAACGGCACCCTGATAGAAGCCAAGATTCATTATTGTTTGGGTGTGCATTCATAAAATGAAGCAACAAACACATCTATGTGGGGAGTTTTTCTCTCATAGTGCCACAGTTGTGTGTACGAGCCAAGGTGATAACAAGGGTACAGCATAAATGTAGTTTAAAGATTTTTATTTTCAAAAAGAAGTAATAAAGTATATTTTTTTGAATCGCTCTTCGTCTGGTCCCTCCCCTGAGACCAATTTGCCATGGGAGACCCTATCAGGGGCTAATGCCCCAGACAACACAGCTCCCAGGATCATTGGGACACACAAACCTCTCCACCACGTTAAGGTTGCGATTCCAGGATGAGAGAGCTTTTCAGTCTCTAGCTCATGCTGAAGCATGTCTTTCTCCGCCTTCAGCTTGTCTTTCTCCGCCTTCAGGGTGTCTTTCTCCACTTTCAGGGTATTGATCAGCTGGAGATCTTGGTCCACCCTTGCTGCATGAGTGAGCTTTTCATTCTCCAGCTCACATTGAAGGGTGTCGATCAGCTGGAGATCTTTATCAATCCTGTCGGCATGAGCCAGCTTTTCAGTCTGTAGCTCATGCTGAAGGGCGTCTTTCTCCACTTTCAGGGTGTTGATCAGCTGGAGATCTTGTTCCACCCTTGCTGCATGAGAGAGCTTTTCAGTCTCTAGCTCATGCTGAAGCATGTCTTTCTCCGCCTTCAGCTTGTCTTTCTCCGCCTTCAGGGTGTCTTTCTCCACTTTCAGGGTATTGATCAGCTGGAGATCTTGGTCCACCCTTGCTGCATGAGTGAGCTTTTCATTCTCCAGCTCACATTGAAGGGTGTCGATCAGCTGGAGATCTTTATCAATCCTGTCGGCATGAGCCAGCTTTTCAGTCTGTAGCTCATGCTGAAGGGCGTCTTTCTCCACTTTCAGGGTGTTGATCAGCTGGAGATCTTGTTCCACCCTTGCTGCATGAGAGAGCTTTTCAGTCTCTAGCTCATGCTGAAGCATGTCTTTCTCCGCCTTCAGCTTGTCTTTCTCCGCCTTCAGGGTGTCTTTCTCCACTTTCAGGGTATTGATCAGCTGGAGATCTTGGTCCACCCTTGCTGCATGAGTGAGCTTTTCATTCTCCAGCTCACATTGAAGGGTGTCGATCAGCTGGAGATCTTTATCAATCCTGTCGGCATGAGCCAGCTTTTCAGTCTGTAGCTCATGCTGAAGGGCGTCTTTCTCCACTTTCAGGGTGTTGATCAGCTGGAGATCTTGTTCCACCCTTGCTGCATGAGAGAGCTTTTCAGTCTCTAGCTCATGCTGAAGCATGTCTTTCTCCGCCTTCAGCTTGTCTTTCTCCGCCTTCAGGGTGTCTTTCTCCACTTTCAGGGTATTGATCAGCTGGAGATCTTGGTCCACCCTTGCTGCATGAGTGAGCTTTTCATTCTCCAGCTCACATTGAAGGGTGTCGATCAGCTGGAGATCTTTATCAATCCTGTCGGCATGAGCCAGCTTTTCAGTCTGTAGCTCATGCTGAAGGGCGTCTTTCTCCACTTTCAGGGTGTTGATCAGCTGGAGATCTTTTTCAGTCCTGTCGGCATGAGTGAGCTTTTCAGTCTCTAGCTCACACTGAAGGGAGTCTTTCTCCACCTTTAGAGCGTCTTTCTCCGCCTTCAGGGTGTTGATCAGCTGGAGATCTTGGTCCACCCTTGCTGCATGAGAGAGCTTTTCAGTCTCTAGCTCACGCTGAAGGGCGTCTTTCTCCGCCTTTAGAGCGTCTTTCTCCACTTTCAGGGTGTTGATCAGCTGGAGATCTTGGTCCACCCTTGCTGCATGAGTGAGCTTTTCAGTCTCTAGCTCACGCTGAAGGGAGTCTTTCTCCGCCTTTAGCTGCATGAG